AAGAAAAATAGTAATAAACAAGCATTGGACTGTCCCCAAAAAGTTGGTAGAATATTAGAATAATTTCTTCAATGTGTGCAATATTTCAAAGACGAAAATATTCAAGATGACCAAAACATACAAATCCATTAACAGCAGTGTCCAAAAGTAAATATTAATGGCAGAAACGGTTAATTACCACCATTGGCTAGATTGGAGAAACAAAATTAAAAGAGCGACTATAACATTACATTCTAACTTCTATGCCTGCCTTCACCAAGTGCTCCTTCACAGATTAAATGGCACCTGCAATTTATGAAATGATAAACAGAGATCAACATCAATAATGCATCAATATAAATACAAGCACATTCAGGTTTCTAATCACGTACTACTCCCCATCAAGTGAACGGCTTGCTAGATGGTGGGTTGAGAAATGACGTTTACTACGGTCAAAAGTCTTTGTCACAAAGTCTGGCAGCATATTTCCAAAAACTTTTCCTTGTATCCACAAAAACCTCAGAGAATTCAGCTTCCTCACCGCTCGTGTTAATGCAGTACCACTGAAACAACAATTCCACATATCTAGTGTTTCTAACTTCTGCAGGCCAATGGGATTGCAAAGTTCATTTTCAAAAAAATTCAACATTGCATCAGATCTCACAATGTTGCCCAATTGCATCACTTTCACATTTTTCCCATACTTCACAATCGATTTAATTCCATTCCCTGTCAGCCAATATGTGTAGAAGAGAAGAGAAAGCCTCTTGAGGTCAGGACAACCCTTCAACAAAGACTCAACTCCAATATCAAGCACCCTTTGCCTCAATTTTTGTTGTGGGTTTACAACAAACAACATCAACCGAAAATCACAAAGCTTCTTCATGTTGTTGCCCACACATTTCAAAGCTTCATTTGTAATGGAAGACATATATATTGTCAGATATTCGAGTTCGGAGCATCCTTTTGACAAAGCAATCAATCCTTCTTCAGTAATCCAACCTTCAACATTTTGATCTTTTGTGCGCTTGTAAATCCTCAGCCTTTTCATTTTCTTACAAATAGCGGCAACAACTTCCAATCCTTCGTCTCCAATGACCTCTGTTGTCTGTTCATAAAGATACAACCATATTACTGAACTCAAAATTGAAATTTCACAGAATATGCATACTACAAGGCAGTTGTTTTGCCTTAAATGTCAGAGTTCAATATTTTCTTCAATTAGACATTAACTAATTCACCCAGTGATTCGTAGGTAGTGTGGTATTATAATTCATGAAAAGAAAATTCATTTTTGAGCAGAATCGTTTCTTATTTTAACTAATTCCAATACCCCAATAACTTGCTACCAAACACGAGTTTTATTTCATTACATAATTTATTTTTTTTGATAGATAATCAGTTATATTTCATCATTATAATACAGTCACATTCCTATTCTTTTTAGAGGGTTCTTATGAACTCGCTGTATCTAATATTCTGAGTCATAAAATTCTATTTTTCCATAGGAGAAGCGTGGTTTACCTAATTGACCGATGACCAAATAGGAATATTGAGTTAATTTCTGTCAAATACACATCATAAATAAAATATACATCCAATAATCTAATGAATCAAAAAATTAGGACCTGCAGGTTTTACCTTTAAAATTTCCAAATTAGGACACTCCGCCAATAAGTCACAATATTCTTCGGAATTCAGCCAAGCGTCCAATTAATAAATAACTCGTTTCAATATCTCGACAAAATGCCATACCAAATTCTTGCAACCCATTCGCAGCTTCAAAAAAAACATTAAGACGACTAAGACGGGCATTAGTAATCTTCATTGACACTAAAGACGCACAATTTCAACTAATAAGTTCAAGGTCTTTGGGCATAGCTGGGCTAAGCCCAGTCTTGTAAAAGTTCAAATTTTCCAGAGTTGAATTGTATAAAGCAAGCTCATGGAGCCATTCTGCACCATGATCAATTATATTGCTCTTTTCTAGAAACAATGTCGTCAATCCCCTGCAGCAGCACTGTAAAGAAATTTGATAATAATCCGAAATCATGAAATTGCATGTAAGCAAAAATTTGATAATAATCCAAGATCATGAAATTACAAATAACCAAGTTTCTGACAATATTCATTCAAGTACTTGAATTGGATAATCGATGCACTATGATCTTTAAGTCAGAATAAAAATGGTATTACGAAAAGTAGTAATAAGAGGGGGATCAGCTGTTGTATGGCAAAATAAGTAACAAAGTTTTTTTGGCAGCAAAGTAATAGTGTTATAAGTAACAATTGAATTGCATACTTTCTACTTTGATAAGCAAAAAATAACTTATTTTATGTGTAAATTCTTAACCTAGGCTAAAATTAACATAAAGCGGCACGAGGATAAAAATATGCTCGACCATGAAGTCCTCCGTGATTGCTCTGTACAAATACCTTCACCTTAACCTTAAACTTAACCTCCTCATCCCACAAACTACCCACAAAACTTCTCTCTCTCTCTCTCTAACCCTCATCTGCAAGAAGTTCCATAATTTCACAATAATTGATCAAAAACACACATAGAGAAAAATGTCAGCGGATTCAGTCCATCAATTGACATAGGTCTCCCTAGAGAACAAAGTCAAGAATTAGCCATCGACGAGACAATAACCTTAAACCCCACAAAACATCGTGGAACTTGCCAAGGTTTCTTCGCCTCTCGACAGCTGAATGCACTTGCAGTAATAATCCTACTCTCTACAGGTGGCATAGTAAGCATCAAGGATTTTGCTTTAGTAATCTTCTCAATAGTCTACATCTATTTGGTACTAGAAACTGCATTTCCAGCCACAATCCTATTATTTTTCCACCAGTTTTCAGAGAAATAATAAAATAACGATTATTTACATGCTTTTCACGTTGATATTGGAGTATTTCATAGAATACATTTTGAAGGTATATTTGGGAGAGACAGTGAAGGTATAAAGGCAGCAGCACCCATGTTTTTCTTTTAGCCAGTCAAGTTTTCATGGAAGAGCTTGCCTTCTGGAATAACTTTTCGTTACCTATATTCATGCTTTTGTGCAAGTTTTTTACAACTCGAGGAGAATATTGAGGGCTGAGATTTCCAAGGTGGAAACAGAATTGGTGGCCGAAGTAGGAGATTGTATATTGGAAAAGCAGTTGCCATTTTAAATATGGCATTTTGGTGTTACAATCTGTTTTCATTCTTGTCGCCTATGTTATTCTGAAAAGCTATCAAGATATGAATCAAGCTGCCAATATAATGTCTGAAGCTCTTTCTTTACATAAGCATAAAAATTCCTATGCTATCTTCAGGCAATAACTTCTTCAAAGAACGCATAGATCTCACGAAAGTACAGAATTGCACAAAACAGAAGATGAAGAACAAAATTCTCCATGGGACTTGCAATTCCTGATCTCATTATAGCAACTGAAAACCATAAAAAATTGCAAAAATGAAGATAATTTTAGTTATCCATAATCAAGAAAGATGAACTGCTACATGCAACCAAAAGAAGTAAGAACAAGTAATCGACATGGTTTACGCCACTTATTACTAATTTTACCTGCACTGACGAGTGACACTCAGCAATCCATGGGTAGAGAATCCTTCACATTCTTGGAGCTTGAGCACTTGAAGAGCCTTCCTCAAATTTGAAGTTACAAGTAACTCTAGATCACCATCTGATACTATCATCCTCCTAACATCAACTGCCTTGATTTTAGGATGTTTCACAATCTCTGTGAACCACGGTGTTATCTTATCCCTCGAGCCCATCCAAAAGTGATGCATCATTTCCAGCGACATTCCCTTTATCTTCAACGAACGGAGGTTTGGGAAGCGCCGGAAAAGTCCTATAATGCTTTACTCAACATCGCCCTCCTTCCTCCTACAGTCACAAAGAGAAAACGTAGCTAAAAAGAAATCTAGAAATGTTCTCCTAGAAATATGGGAGGCTATTATCCCATATGTCAAGGCCTCCGAAGATAGGGCAGCAGCGACTCTGGTGTGCAAAAGCTGGTTTCAAATCGACAAGGTTACTCGAGAGCACGTTACTGTAAAGTCTGCTTACGTTGCAAAACCGGAAAGACTTTTCCGACGCTTCCCAAACCTCCGTTCGTTGAAAATAAAGGGAATGTCACCGGAAATGATGCATCACTTTTGGATGGGCTCGAGGGATAAGATAACACCGTGGTTCACGGAGATTGTGAAACATCCTAAAATCGAGGCAGTTGAGAATCCTTCACAAACTTGGAGCTTGAGCACTTTAAGAGCCTTCCTCAAATTTGAAGTTACAAGTAACTCTAGATCACCATCTGATACTATCATCCTCCTAACGTCAACTACCTCGATTTTAGGATGTTTCACAATCTCCGTGAACCACGGTGTTGTGTTATCTCTCGAGCCCATCCAAAAGTGATGCATCATTTTCGGCGACATTCCCTTTATCTTCAACGAACGGAGGTTTGGGAAGCGCCGGAAAAGTCTTTCTGGTTTTGCAACGTAAGCAGACTTTACAGTAACGTGCTCTCGAGTAACCTTGTCGATTTGAAACCAGCTTTTGCACA